CGCCAGTGCACTGGTTCACAGCCTTGGGGATGTCTGCCTTGAATCCCCTTGGCTTGTGTATAATTGCAAGGGGAGCTTTAATTCTGTGTGTCGAACTCACCATCAAGGTAAGATCCTTACAGGTATACCCCTTCTCTGTCTCCACGCTCTGTCCGTGATCTTCTCTTGTCCGTTGCTCGCACCCATAAGGCCTACTCACACTTGCAGGACTTCTCGCGTGCGGCTCCCTTCCTATGGAATAGCCTGCCTACTGCCATAAGACTCTCCCCTTCAATCGTTTAAAAAGTGCCTTAAAACCCATCTCTTTAGGAAAGCTTATGGCCTCCCAGAGTAACCTCTACCTTACATACCTGTCTCTTGGCTCTCCTAAAGGGCAGCACTCTACTCTCTCCTCCAGCTCTGCTTCACTCCCACCTTATTTGAATGCTTTTTCCTGTGTTAATATGTTTTATAACCCACCTCCTATAGACTGTTTGAGCAGGGTCCTCTTCAACCTATCGTTCCTGTAAGTTTTCTTGTAATTGTTCTATTTATAGTTAAATCCCCCCTCTCACAATATTGTAAAGCGCTATGGAATTGTTGGTGCTATATAAATGGAAGTAATAATAATAATAATAATAATATCCAGAGTTATGTCTCACTAACAGTGATTCTAGATAAAACCATATCATTCAGTGACAATAAATGACTGTCTGCAAATTAGTGCCGCTAAGCGGTAGCCAATCTGCAATTGTAACATATTTAACATAGTAATTATCTTTGTTTTGTCAAACATTTTGGCCACACCAATGGTACATTGGCACAGATACACACACACTACACATACAGATACATGCGCATTACACACACAGATGCACACAGAGATAGACACACACACACAAAATCAATCACACTACACACCGAGATGCACACACACACACACACACACACACTACACAGACATTAAAAAAATGAAGCCAGTTTCTTAGCTTCTCCTGGCTGTGGCTGGTGGGAGTTGGGGGCCTGCTCTTCCAATCCGGACCATCCTCACGGCTAACTCCTCTTTCCATGAGGCTGTGCGAGTAAGCTCTGAGGAAGTGATACGCTGTCACTTCCTCCCAGCTCTACCTACAGTTAAGAAGGGTCTGGTTGTACGGTTAAAGCGCCACGGCGCACAACTGGGCCCCTCATTGCACATGTCCATCACGTGGCCCTAAGTGCATGGTCCGATGGTTCCCAACACATGCGGTGCAGCTGCACCACCGCCCTGGGTTGGGAACCTCTGTTTTAGATGGTGACACGGGTGGCAAAATGCTGCCCCTGTCAGGATCCCACCTGGAGCCATGGCCCCACCGTGGTCTATGTACAGGCTGGCCCTTCCCCCAGGCTGAAAGCATTCCATGCCACCTCAATAGCTTTAAAGCCCATTTATATGGGGACGGCATGGAATGTCGTAACGGCGGAAAAGGGTTAAGGTTATTTTCTGGGGTCCTCCAATTCTCTAACGGTTTGTCACTGCAAACCCATCACACCTTAACAAGCACTTAATTCTTTATATTTTCTAACATTTGCCTTTGCAATACTTAATTATCACTATTTAATTATTATATAGAATAAATCTTGTTTTCTACTCAAGTTTGACGTTCAGTAAGAATGGGTTTGTAGAAAAATAGCTAGGGCATATGGTAATAGTGGGTACGAGATATCAGGGTAAAGGATACATGACCTTTAGCATGAGTTAGCAGCAACTCAAATTCTACCAAAAATTCTTCTTTTTTTTCCCCAAGTATTTCTAAAATTTCTAGTTATGTAACGCTAATATGGATGCCCAACTCAATATGGTGAACAGGTTACGTTTTAAACATAATTAACACAATGAGATATTTAAGACTGACACCATTTCAAGCTATTACAGATCTATTAGAATCAATATAATATTGAGAGCACACAAAATGAAAACAAAGTTGTTACCACAAGTTGTACAGTTAAAACCTGACACTGAAAGAGTCAATTTGCTGAAAAGAGAGCTTTACAGGATTACGTATTAACCTATGGCATTCCACATGTTGTAGACCACATCTCCCCTGATGCTTTGCCAGCATTTTGGCTGTAAGAGTATTATGGGAGATGTAGTACAAAATATCTGGAGTGCTAAATGTGGCCTACCCGTGCCCTAGTGTCTTAACATAGATAAAGGTATAATACCCTTAACATAGATAAAGGTATAACACCATCCATGCAGTTCTGCTCGAGGCATCCATAACATATTTTTGCCCATGAATTATCGAACATTTCAAATTGGCATTATCTGCTAGACTATGCCAGCATACTCTTCCACGACATATTCAAATTTTATAAACTAAAAGTAAAACAAATTTTTTGAGCCTTACCTTCTTAAAGGACCACTCTAGGCACCCAGACCACTTCAGCTTAATGAAGTGGTCTGGGTGCCAGGTCCAGCTAGGGTTAACCCATTTTTTCATAAACATAGCAGTTTCAGAGAAACTGCTATATTTATGAATGGGTTAAGCCTTCCCCCTAATCCTCTAGTGGCTGTCTCATTGACAGCCACTAGAGGCGCTTGCGTGCTTCTCACTGTGATTTTCACAGTGAGAGCACGCCAGCGTCCATAGGAAAGCATTATGGATGCTTTCCTATGTGACCGGCTGAATGCGCGCGCAGCTCTTGCCGCGCGTGCGCATTCAGCCGACGGGGAGGAGAAGAGGAGGATCGGAGGAGGAGAGCTCTCCGCCCAGCGGTGGAAAAAGGTAAGTTTTAACCCTTTTCCCCTTTCCAGAGCCAGACGGGAGGGGGACCCTGAGGGTGGGGGCATCCTCAGGGCACTATAGTGCCAGGAAAACGAGTATGCTTTCCTGGCACTATAGTGGTCCTTTAAATAAAATGTTATTCTCAATAAAGAAGTAAATAAAATATATGTTCTGTAGTTATTGACTTTGATTTAAAGTAAATCTGTATTTTGGGAGCTTTTAGGCCACAATGGCTTTTTATTAACATTCAATATTGTCCTATAGTTCTTTTTCTTGTTCGATTTTCAAGCCATTTCATCTTTCCATCTCTTTCAGTGCATATCACACTTTTGTTGTCAGGGAATTGTCTATGCTCTTGTAGATTGCTTTGCAAAATAAATTGTAGGGTGAGATGCTTAAAACGTATCTTCTATTTACCATTAATACAGTTATCTGCAAGTGACATTTATTTGTTTGGTTGTATTTCTGAGCAGTTTAATGCTTGGAAGTAGATATAATTTTATGTACATGTTAGTTATTCACGTGAAAGAATGTCATCTACAAATAAACATTTTTTGTTAGTATTTCACAAGTTTTATGTTTTTCATAATTATTGAAAAACTTATCTTATTACTTATTATATCAGCAGAATTTTCTTCTGGACAATGAGGAGCAGAGGTGAAGCCTAATCTAGGGCGCTGAATTTGGGTAAGTGACATAAACTGTCTGCGCTGCAGAAGGTAGCAGACATGCGATGGGGACACAGTAGGGTAGTATAGTTGTGACAAACTGCCCTCAAACTCTGTTATTTTTCTAAGCCCAAGTTATATTCCCTTGTATTCGCTAGTTCTACCTACCCAACGCAGACCACCCCTTGGCTCATTATCTTCAAACTAACCACAAAGTGAAGTGCTCTCTCTGGGCGGCCGCCATTCGTCTAACCGAAAGACACGTGCTCTGGAAAATGGTGGCCATCTTGTCTCCTGAACGCAGGCAGCGGTACTTGGTCATCGAGTGCCTTGAATTCTAAGACGGAAACATTGACGCCTGCTTCTGTTCCCGACAAGCCAGGAGAGTGCTGTTCAGTTGAAGGTACGCATGAACGAGACAAACAATTTTGTTTGTTTTGGAACTCTGAAAAGTAACCGACAGCTACCACTTTTCTTCTGTAACTAATTTGGGCCAATGCCACGTGTGACCCCTAACCTAAGGGAACAGCGGGGGGTGGGGAGGGGGTGAAGTAGGTGGGGGCACAGGACCCCATATTTTTGGCTTTATCATGTGTTAAAGGCTTTTCTCAAACAGAGAAAACATATTAACGGATATAACTAAAAATACTAAAGAAGGCAGGTGTTCGCTGTCTTGTGCAGGTTTAGGTCGGTGCTTTGGGGGTTCGGGGGTTCTAGGGATGAAGGTGGCTGAGCGTTCAAGGTCCCAGACGCGGCGGGTGGGTGATGGTGTTAGGTTGGATTGCAATAGTTCCAGAGCATCTTCCGTAGTAGATGTCAGCCATAGAGTGGTGCCATTTCTAGTAACTGTAAGAGCTCGGGTTCGACCATCTGTATGCGATATTTGCATTTCCCAGTTGGTTGGTGGCTTGGTTTAGCGATCTTCTCCATTGTAATGTATTTCGGGACAGATCATGAAAGAAGGTAAGGTTAGCAATTTAGAATGTATAGGGAGACTTGCCCTGTACAGCCTTGAGTATGTGTTGTTTTTCTGCGGGTGTTTGGCACCTCAGAATCACATCTCGGGGTGCAGTAAAGGGTTCCTGTGGATATTTGTTAATTCAAAACACCCTTTCCAGTCCGAGTTTTTTAGTGTGGGCAGGGGGTAGCAATTCAGCGATTAGGCGCCTGAGGTAGTGCGGTAATTCCGTTGAGTCGACAGAGTCTGATATAGCCCTGATCTTGAGGTTACCCTGTCTACTGCGATCTTCCAGTAAATCTAGCTTCATGGGTATGTCATCCTGAAATGCATGTAGATCTTCCTTCATGCCAGTCACTTCGCGTTTAGTATCTAGTATGTCTTTCTCTGCTGCTTGGGCATGTGCAGTCACTGCCTGAGCTTCTGTCTTAACCAGATCAATGTCCTCGGACGAACATCTGCCTAATCTTACGAAGGAGGTCCTGGATGTCCTGCTTGGTCGATGCGGCTTGTGTCTCAGTGTTTGTCCCCAGCATCATTTGTTGCTGTGTGTGTTTGAGTGTAATCCTGTTTGTCTGAATTAGACTCAGAGCACATGGAGCCCACTTCATGGTCCCGTATGGCCACCATTTTGTGGACCTCTGCTTGGGTTGTTGGGTGCTGCAGCATAGTGCCTATGTCAGGGATGTTGTGACCTGTACCTGCAGGCAACTGCTGTGATCTGCGTCCCATGGTGCCTGTCTCTCTCTTCCGGTTGTGCTCGAAGGGCTGGGATTGTGCTGGGATCTCGGGCGGCCAGAACGCATGTAGCGGTTGCCTGTCTGTGCAGCTGAGGCTGGTGTAGGCTTCGGCTCTGCCACAAGCTTTTCTGCCCGAACACAAAAGGCATCTGCCGATTGCTTGTCTTGCGGGGATGTTGTGGTGAGCGGTTCTGTGGGCTAGTAGTCTGTGGTGAATAATTATCGGCGGTTTTGCTTGATTGTATGCCGGTGCTCTGGCGAGGTACGACCACTCAGCTTGGCTTGCAAGCCCTGCCCTCCATATAATGTATTTTTTAAGTGATATTAAGGCATTATTCATAGTTTGGAGAATAAAAATGCTTTTGTTTGAAGGGATTAAGAATTTTGTATTACTGATAGGATTATAGTATAAAGAATTAAAAGTAATTCCATGTTAAACAAATATTTGTAGATCTGATTTGCGATTATTTTTTGAGAAAGAAACACTTGAGAGAAATAGATTGTTTTAAAACTAAATATTAATTAAAGAGGATAGGAGTACATCGTAATGCCAACCAAATGCAAATAGCTGCCGGATCTTTTACAAAAAAAAATATTTGTGATGTAGCGGAAAATGGAGACATATTGATATTTCAGTATTTTGGCCTTAAATGTGTACAGTGCTTTTCAGTTCACAGAATTCCCTGTATAGTAAATAAATCAGAAATGATAATTATGTTATACCTTCCTTACCGCCCAAAAATGCATAATTTGTTTGAGATACTATTTTTTTTAAAGCGCATTACCAACATCATGAATAGTAGAGGGATAAAGTGACCATTTTAATACTTAGTAGAACATTCAATTAATTGGCATGCTCTTTGGAGGCATTAACGAGGCATCATTAACCATGGAGGGATTCTTAACTAACGATTATATGCAACCATTTGCATTTTTAGGACAATCACATATTAGAGTGTTGCTAAAAGAACAATGATTACAGTATGAAAAGGTAAGAACACACACAGTCTTTGATGAAGTATGTGAGGGCACGAAATGCATCAGACTAGCATTGTTCTAAGGCAAAGAAAATTCCCTCCTTGCCTGTGTGGATGGAGGCTTTTTCCTTTCCCTACCCTGTGGAGGAAGTCAAATCAAGTCTATAAGTCTTTGAGGAGCATTGGTTTGGATGCCGGTGGAAGAGTCCATGTCTACCCCATCACATCATGGGAAGTAGAGAGGTAAGCAGATGGAAAAATGGTCATTAAAAATAATTTTAACCCTTTTTGTGCTGAGCTTGGAAGGGGAGACCTATAAACATAGGGGCAGGAACAATAAAGCATTAGGAATACAGGTTTATATTCCTAACACTTTAGTATTGCATAGTGTGCACATCTAGCCATATAATCTCTACTGCTACAATATGACATAACAATACAAATAGACATGCACAGTAAATTATGTGTGCATCTTACACATTTAATACAAAAAGGAAAATATTTATTGAAAACCCAACCATCAGATCATAGACTGCTAAATCATACTCCGTAAACAACACATGGGTATAAAAAAACACAAGGTTAAAACTCAGTGGTAAGCAGGAAGTGCGAGGTTGCAGATTCAAGTGCATGAAAGCGTGAGCGTGTGTGCCTGAACGCGCATGTGCGCCCATATCGCACAGGAGCATGCACGTACGAATGCGTGTGCTCGTGAACGCGTAACACGTGGGTAGAGGAAGGGGAGAACATAGGGGAATACACGATAGCAGGGAGTGGAGTACTGGGAAAATAGGAGAAAGAAGGAGCAGAGTCCTTGTAGAATAGGAGAAAAAAGGAGCAGAGTACTTGTAAAAAAAGGAGAAAGAAGGAGCAGAGTATTTGTAAGAAGGAGCAGAGTATTTGTAAAAAGGAGAAAGAAGCAGCAGAGTACTTGTAAAAAGGAGAATGAAGGAGCAGAGTATTTGTAAAGAAAGAGCAGAGTACTTGTAGAATAGGAGAAAGGAGAAGCAGAGTACTTGTAATAAGGAGAAAGAAGGAGCAGAGTATTTGTAAAAAAGGAAAAAAAGGAAAATATAAAAAGGAAAAGGAGAGAATTGTTCTTGGCTAATAATAATAATAAGTGGGCTACCTAGCTCAGCCTTCCTGCTGGGCATTGCTATAAGGAAGGTAAAAAAATATAAAAAAGGAAAACAAAGGTGGGGAGGGGAATTGAAGAGGGAGAGGAGGGGATGCACAGGTGAGAAATCATATTATGAGCAAACAGAGAAATAGTCTGAATATCACCGAAAGAGGAGACCTTTGTTTGTTCCTTACGAAAATCGAACCAGATATCAAATATTTAGTCTCGCAGCATAAGCCTCAAAGATCTCGTTAATCACTAGTTAAAGATAATTTCAATTTACTTTATTGTTTTCTCATTAAACTTTCTAAAGCTAAAAACATTATAAACATGCATAAAGTAGAAATAAAGAGATAAATGTACGTACATTTTTAAAAAAACATCCTCATTCTAAAAAATATTCAGCACTTGCGCGAAAACTGGTGGGCCGTAAGGAGATTTTTCAATCAAGAAAGATGCATTAGTGGGCGGTAGATAAAAAAAGGTTGACTAACCCTGATCTAAGGAGACATCTGGCTGCTATTGTGGGGTCAAGAAGGAATTTTTTCCTAGTTTGTTGCAAAATTAGAAACACTACAGACTGGGTTTCTTGCCTTTTTTTGGATCAACAGCAAAAACACATGTGAGGAAGCCTGAACTTAAAGGATGCAAGTTTCTTTTCAGCTATGTAACTGTAATATGTAACATACCTTATACCCAAAGTTGGGCAATAGTTATTTAAATTAATTCAATAAATCAATCTTGATTCTAAACATGCAAATTTCTATAAAACAAGATCATTTTGCAACTAGTCTGCTTAGGAAAGCCATGGCTGCATTTACATTTCAAATGCAACACCCAAGACATGTTTTAAACAGATTCCCCAAAAGGCAATTTTTGCAATTACACATGCTATGCTCAGATGAGAATCAATTTAAACAAGGTTCACAAGCTATGATGAATCAGTTCATTAAAGTGGGCTATATACTAGAATCAATGAACGGAGCACAGAAAGAGATTACAGGACCTAAGACTATACAAAGGAGAACAAGATACAATCGTGATCAACAACAACATAAAGAAACTAAATGGAAAATAAATACAAATTATATTATAAGCAGCAGCACTTTTAAATAAGTCCATAGAAAGTTTGAAGAAGACAAGAAAACGTATAAATATGTCAGAGTGCAACAAATTTTCTACAACTTATGCCTAGAATATCTGGGCATATCCTAAACTGAGAGACTAAACATTTAATGATAATATTAAAAGTTGTGAAATAGCAGAGAGTTATTCTGGCGCAATATAGAGTTGTAATTTAAGAATGTGTGATTCTGATGTACACCTGCACAGATAGCAAAAGCAGGAACAAAACAAAGAAGAATGAAAAATGCGGCCTATAATAAATCTTTGGGTTCGAAATGCGTAGGGTAAGTCACACTGGACTCATTACCCTTTCCAATACATTTTGGATTCTTCACGTTAGAATAAAGACATTTCATTTTTAAATATTTCTTAGTCTGCCGTAGAAACTGATCCAGAAGGAATGTCAGAAGGGGCAAGGAATCAGTCAAGTTAATCACGTGCTGGCGGCACAACTAAAATACAAAAAAAAAAAAACAATATAAATCAAGGGACATCTTCCTGGAAAGCATTATATGCTGTTATAAATGTACTTGTACTAAAACTGTTAATTATATTTTCAGGGGGTATAAAGAGGCATTGAAATTCTGAACTCTTTGTTATTTCCACTTGACTTTCCCTTTAATAAGAAAAAATTATTTCGATATTTGGAAAATACATATGGTTTATGTAGACTTTTACTAAACCTCACACGGCTTGAAGGCAGCACAGCAATCAGCCATAGAGGAGAGGTGACAGCAGCCTCGAGATAAAACTGAAAGATCATGTAGATACATCACACTGACACATTGAAGTTTCAACACCAGCATCAAATTATTTCATTTCTGTCATTTTGTAATCTGGTTCTTCCTGTTCAAGCTTAAATATAAAAAAAAAAAAAATTAAAAATGATTTATCGTATTTTTATTTCTGCAGTATTTGTACAACTATTTAACTTTTTTTTTCATTTAGCATTCCTAGACTACACTAAGAAATAGGATTAGTCTGATGTTCTTATTGATAGGTCTCTTCTGCAATGATACAAGTGAGGAATAAACCTTTCAAGATGCTTCTGATTGGACATTCTCTTTCGGATAGGTTATTAAACACTATGTACTATAGACGTGTTTCCCAAACCAGTCATCAAGCCACCAACAGTCCAGGTTTTATCAATATCTCCATTGGAATAACATAGGGAAATACATAAATCCTGGACTGTTGGTGGGCCATGAGGTCTGGTTTGGAAACCACTGTACTATAGGATAAACTCCTTTTTATTCTAGTTTATGTGACTGGAAATCAAAATGTCATTGATATGCATATGATGCATTAAAAAACTACTATAAAGAAAAAAAAATCTTCGTATTGAGGTGGCTTTTTGAGCGATGTTTGTGGTCTATATTTTGGTCAGTCAATTGTGTGTTCAGACATGATACGTTCACAAGAACATTTTTAAAAGATTTGTCTTGGTTGAGTAATTTATTCGATCGACTCGAAAGTTTAATATTCTGTGATTTCTTGTAGATAGCGATATTGAGACATTTAAAAGTATGAGAATAGATAGATCATGTCAAACTAAGTTATTTCTGTTCTGTCAAGAGTTCAGCTGAAATTAAATGAGGGTGTTGCACTAGATATTCTTCTGCTTTGATTTGGCAAGTGTTTTTGACAAGATCGCTGTACAGTTTTAAATAATGTAGCCTCCAGGGTAAACTAGCCGAATTAAAATAATACAGTGAAGCACAGAATGTAGAAAAAGGTTAATAATGGGAAAATTTTCAGCTGAAAAAAAAAAAGACAGTAATGTGCCTTGAGATCTCTCATGAGCTTCTTATATTTCCTCTGGATATTATTCAGTGGGCATTAAAAGTCAGATTTAAATGTTTGCCAAAGTAAAAAAAAAAAAATAGCAAGATGGTTTGGATAAAATTGGGGCACTAAGATACTTAAATACAGGTGATACTCAAATCAGAATATCGTGCAAAAGTTCATTTATTACAGTAATGCAATGTAAAAGGAGAAACTAATATATGAGATAGACGTATTACATGCAAAGCAAGATAGTTCAAGCCGTGATTTGTCA